CCAAGGTCCCTTCCAACTCTGTTCTCCTGTTATTGTGGCTTTCGTGTGTCTGCTCTCCCCGTGTAATTTTGCCCTGATGGGATTTTGGAGAACCACGACATCCAGAGTTCCTCATGTTTTAATTTGGGCAGCTCCTACTCCCTCTCGTATGTGAGTCATAAAACAATTGATCGGATCCTGACAGATACAAACAACCCTTGTTAAGAAAAGGGCAGCTGAAACCGGTGGTTTATTATACGGTAAAATGAGCTCCAGAGAGCTAAACCCCAAATGATTGTTTTCTCTCGTTCTGCTGCATGGATGAAATTAAAAAAAAAAAGATTTAAAAAAAATCAAAGGGAAAATAAACCGATTTTGCAGATTCTGACAATTACAGCTCTCTCCGGGGTGGGATCAGCTAGCGAGTGGATCCAGATGGGAAACTGGGCTGAGATATTGTTTGGGGCAACGTGGGGCTGTGATTTGAAAGGACTGACAAAAGAATGAGGAGAAGCAGAAAGAAGCCAGATAAAGCTTTCCTTTCTCACTGCAGGAGATGTGAAACGGATAGTTAACGAAACTGATCCTCATTGGAAGAGCCGAGGGGATAATGAGAGGGAAGAAGGACAGAAATATTAAAGTCGGGTCCACTTGAAATCTCACAGCGTCATATATATATCATGGTCTAAATTTGGGGGAGAAAGCAATCGCTTTGAAGAGAGTAGTCCGACTTGCAACCTGCTTTTCACTGAGATGACCCTTTTCAGGGTCTGCTGGGGGTTTGCAAAGATTCGGGAGAAGCCCCCTAGATTCTGTGCAGTTTGGAGAAAACGCAGTCTAGGAGGAAAGCAACTTCAAACTAAGGAGAAATTTCTTAACAGTTAGAAAAATTAATCAGGGCGACAACTTACCTCCAGAAGTTGTGGATACTCCAGCACTGGGGTTTTCTAAGAGGAGATTGGATAAATATTTATTTGCCCAGAATGATATAGGATATCCTGCTCGAGCTTGGGGATGGACTAGAAGGCCTCTAAGGTCCCTTTCAACTCTTTTATTCTGTTATTTTACTTTCCATTACAGGCAATGCCAAATAACTGGACAGAGTTGCCATTGTTCATGTCTCACGGAGCCTCTTACTTGTCATCACCTGGAAGCATCATGGGATGTAGTGGTTTATTTTTAGCTTTTCAAGTATCACCAGCCTAACCAGAACCGGCTTCTACAGAGGTGGGATATTTAGCAGAAGTCACTTTCCTTGGGCTCCTTCAAACGAGAGGACCTGCCCCCATAGGGGGCATCTAGCTTCAAGCTTGACTTCAGCTGCATCTAGAACTTCCTGCGTTTTCTCCACCAGATGTCCAACTTCTGCGGTTTGGCTCCAAAGCCTTCATATTCGTTTCTTTGAGATCACCTTTTTAGTCCATGACGGACACCAGTGGTGGGATTCAAATGTTTTAACTTACTGGTTCTGTGGGTGTAACGTGGTAGGCGTGGCAGGGGAACGATATTGCAAAATCCCCATTCCCTCCTCACCCCTATTAACCTGCTTTCCAGCTCCGTTCTCCTGTGCAGGGCAACCAAAGAAGACCCAGCTGATCAGTTGGGACTCAAATGGGAGGCAGAGAATAGATGGGAGCGGGGCCAGTCAGAGGTGGGATTTGCCAGTTCTCCAAACAACTCAAAATTTCTGCTACCGGTTCTCCAGAACTGGTCTGGACTTGCTGAATTCCACCTCTGATGGACACCTTCTCACCTAGCTGTTCAAACACAACTGTGTCTCTCTTCAATTCTCAAGTAGATGGCAGTATCTCACTTGGTCTTGCTTGATCTTAGGAAGCTAAGGAGAGTTGGTCTGACTACTACTTGGTTCAATGGGGACCACCTAGAAATTTGAGAATTAGAAGACTTGACCTGGTAGTTCAAAAACCTATCTCAGAAGAAGACATTAGGAAACCTTATAACACTGCAAGAAAATTAATCCTGGTGACCAAAGATGAGCTTAACCTGGGAGTTATTTTATATTGTCATTTTATTTTAATCTCACCTCGATTATTTTTATAAGTAACTCAAGGTGGTGAACATACCGATGTAATGGAATGTGGGAAAGGCCTTGGGAGACTGGATGAAGAGAAGCTGCCAAGGAATGGTCAGATAAGAGATAGCCTGCAGCTAGACAGTGAGTAGGGTAAGAAGTTCAGAAGAGACCCTCCCTAGTGTCTCAGGCTGTAAAGGAGACTGGGGGAAGAATGGTACTTTCAGACTTGCAAGACCATTGTTGGCTTCGCTGGGCTAACTAGATAGGAGTCTGACAGGTGGAGAGCCAATTTGGTTCAGTGGTTAAGGCACCAGTCTAGAAAGCAGGACATTGGGAGTTCTAGTCCCACCTTAGCCATGAAAGCCAGCTGAGTGACTTTGGTCCAATCACCAGGAGATGGTGAGTTCTAGTCCCACCTTAGCCATGAAAGTCAGCTGGGTGACTTTGAGCCAGTCCCTATCTCTCAGCCCAACTCACCTCACAGGGTTGTTGTTATAGGGAAAATTGGAGGAGGAAAGTGCAATGGATAAGTTTGCCATCTTGAGTTATTTGTACAAAAAAACCAAAAACCCACAATTGGGATATATCTGCATGTATGTATATTGACAACTAGATGAGCTGATTCTATTTTACTGTGAAATTAAATTGAGTGAACCTTGTAGGTCTAAAATATAATTCTCCCCCACTCCAACACTGCTCAGTCTCCTTTACGGCCTGAGAAACTAGGGAAAGTCTCTTCCAGAGGTGGCATTCAGCAGGTTCTGACCAGTTCTGGAGAGCTGGTAGCGGAAATTTTGAGTAGTTTGGAGAACTGGCAAACCCCACCTCTGACTGGCTATGCCCCCATCTCTTCTCCGTCTCCCGAGTCCCAGCTGATCGGCTGGGTCTCCTTTGGTTGCCCTGCACAGGAGAATGGAGCTGGAAAGCAGGTTAGTGGGGTGGGGAGGGAATGGGATTTTGCAGTAAACTTCCCCTGCCACACCCATCAAGCCACACCCACACAACCGGTAGTAAAAAATTTTTGAATCCCACCACTGGTTTCTTCTGAGCTTTCGCCCTGTCCATTATCCAGCTGATGGCTGTGTTATCTCTTATCTGACCATTCCCTTGGCAGTGTCTTTTCCCAAGATCTTCTGCACATGCAATTAACAGCTGGCCCTGAGATGAACTATCACATATCAGTTGACTTCTTTATTTTTTTTACCTTTGCAGGTCTTCTGTGACAAATTCAGTATTTTACGGAGCGCGGCTAGACAAGTTGATCGACCAACATCGCTTTCCTCTGCCCAGATTCCAGCTCTGAGTCCCACAGCCTGCTTTGACGTGCCCGTAATTGAACACCGAGAGCAAATCCGCTCCAAAATTTCTCTTGCTTGTTGCGTTGACCTTCCTACAGACAGCTCTTTAGCAGCTGCTCCATCTGCCAATCGACAGATTGATGCTTCCGCTTCGGGAGAAGCTTCCTCCAGATAACACAATCCCTGGAGTTTAAACTAATTTTTAGAAAAAGGAAAAAAAAAAGAAAAAAGGAAATATGCAATACACCAAGAGAGAAAGATCCAAGTTGCTAAAAAGGGAACGGATCTCATTTTCTAGCATAATAACTCGGCTAACAAAAATCCCTCACTTGCTAAGGGAAAAGGAAGGGCAGAAAAGAGGAAGAGGAATGTAATAAATGACATATTAAAGGAAATTTATCTAGTTTCCAGAAAGGGATGCAACCCACCTTGGAAGAACAGAGCATGAAGTCAAATCCATGCCAACAAGAGAAACCTCTCATTCTTACGACACCGTCTTAATCCTAGTTTTGGAGGATGATGCATGAGAGCAACCCAGCAGAAGACGTGACTAACTTCTGCCTTGAACAAACCAACCACGTTTGCAACGAGGGCTGGATAAAAACAACAACGGAGATGGAAACGATGAGGAGGCCATGATGGGGACCAAAAGGAACTCAGGTGAAGCTGGAGAATATGCCCAGGTAAGTTTTAAGCATCTCTGGGGAATCAAAGATGCTCCAAGCATCAAAGGATACAGTTAAACCTCCGGAACTACTTGAATACTTGGGTTGGTTAAAGAAGCTGTTGATGAGGTGGTAGGAAGGTGGTGTGAGAATGGAGCGCTGCCATGTTAGCCCAGGTTGGGGTTTGAAATGACAGAGAGGAGGGTCAAAGGTGCTTAGGGAAACATCAATCATTCGAGTCTGTCATCTGTCCGTCAAGCCTATGACGGGAGAGGCTGTTCCTTTTGAGACAGCTGGAATTTTCTCAGTGCTTGACAGATAATTGTCCCCGAATTAGGGGAAAGCTCAATGAGTAAAGTTTTTTTCTTCAGGGAAAAAAAAACAGGTGTAATTTGAATGGAGAGTCCTCTTCCCCCACCCACCCCCATATGGGACGGTGAGGAGGCACCCCAGAAATATTGTTGGCAGGCGCTGTTGCTTCTGAGCGCATCGGAGAGGATGCAAAGCCAGTGAGATGAGCATGCTCACTCCTGCAAGCAGCATTTGCCTGAGCCAGAGCAGTGTGTCTTACCCCTCCACAATTTCTCTCCTTCCTCCTCCTCTTCCTCTTCCTCCTCTTCTTTGGGATCTCTGTCTCTCTAGATGTCTGCTACGTCTGAAAGAGACGGAATTGTGAGTATTGACTTGGCAATTGTAGAGCTTCCATTGATTCATTTATTTGGGCAATCCTGGGAAATGCCTCTTTAGTTTCACTCTCTTGTTGGCTATGTGTTCAAAAAACCCCTTCTTATTCTCTCCTGGCTTTGGCTTTCTGTTTATGCTCAGAGGTCCCTGGGTAACAGCCTGCAGAGCAGATTTGGGTGTTCAACTTCAGAGAATCTAGTTAAAGACTTTTGTTATAGCAGTCCGGAATGGAAGATGCTGCTTTTTGCACTGAGAAAATTTGCATACAGATGGTTCAGCATCCTGCTACCTAAATCTCTGAGTTCGCACATTGCCTTAAACCAGAACACAGTTTCACAGGTTTTGGTTTAATGGGTTGTGTGAATCCATTGATTGTGGTTTATTTAGCGAGGTGTAGGGAACTCAGTCGTTTTTACATATTTGGTGGAATGTGCCAACAGGGAAAGTGCATGTCTGTTAAATCCAAAAGTCTGTTAAATCCAAAAGTCCGTTAAATCTCAAATTATAGGTAGTCTTTGATATATGATCTCCGTTGAGCCCAACATTTCTGCTGCTAAAAACAAGGTGGTTGTTAAGTGAGTTGTGTCCCATTTTATCATCATTTGCCGTGGTTGTTAAGTGAATCGTGCGGTTGTTAAGTGAATCTGGCTTCCTCCATGGACTTTGCTTGTCAGTTGGGAAGGTTGCAAAGGGTGGTTACATGACCCCAGGATACTGGAACCGTCATAAATACATGCCAGTTGCTAAGTGCCCAAATATTGGTCACATGACCATGACGGTCTTAACTGCAAGGATTTTTTTTCAGGGCAGGTATAACTTCAAACAGTTGTCAAATGAATGGTTCTAAGGTAAGGATTACCTGTAGGTTTGTATTTTCCTTATTAAATTTATATGCCACCTTACCAATTCCTACTGCTCTATAGCATAAGATCCCTTATGTAAAGGGAGAGAAAGGAAGGCTCATATCTCAATGCAAAATTGCAGAATTGTGATTGACCATAAATAACACTGTGAGCGCCACAACACGCAGAGGGAAAAATTTCTATCACAAGCTTTAAAAAAAAACCCCATAATTTCTCGTATCTGGTTTACTGAACAAGCCACCATAACACTTCAGTGCAGTGTTTTTTAACCTTGGCATCTTTAAGATGCATGGACTTCAACTCCCAGAATCCCTCAGCCAGCATTTATTTATTTATTTTTATTTATTTGAATTGTCAATAGCTTACAAGATAATAGGTATAAACAGGGGTGGGATCCGACAGGGTTAACTACCAGTTTGGTGATTTACAAGGTTCGTGATTTACGATGTGCTTCCCTGCACGCTGCACGTGCCTGTAAATCATCATCAGCTTGCTGCCCGGACAGCTGAGCAGCGCTGAGTGCAGAGAAGCAGTGCTTGAAAAAGCCCTTTTTTCCTGCTTTTTCAACTGCAGCTGTGCCTTGCACAGCAGCTAAGGTTGAAAAAGCAGGAAATAAAGGTCAGGTAAGAGCCCGGGAGGGCAGGTGGACCAAAACATCAGCAGACATAGAACCGGTTCTATGTCTGCTGCTCTTCAGAGCTACCGGTTCTACAAAGGTGGACAGAACCAGTAGATTCCCACCCCTGGGTATAAACATAAACATGAGTAAGAATACAGGAAATAGGTACGAATAAACGGGGACAATAGGACAGGGACCGGAGGCACGATGGTGTGCTTATGGACGCCTCTTACAGACCTCTTAGGAATGGAGTGAGGTCAATTGTGGATAGTTTAAGGTTAAAAGTTTTGGGGGTTCGAGGATGTAACAACAGAGTCAGGTAGTGCATTCCAGGCGTTGACCACTCTGTTGCTGAAGTCGTACTTTCTGCATTCGAGTTTGAAGCGGTTTGCATTGAGTTTGTATCTGCTGTGTGCTCTTGTATTCTTGCGGTTGAAGCCGAAGTAGTCATTGACTGGTAGGACATTGTAGCAGATAATTTTGTAGACTTCAACTCCCAGAATTCTCCAACCAGCATTTGTGGACTTCAACTCCCAGAATCCCCCAGCCAGCACGTTGGAAGTCCATGCATGTTAAAGATGCCAAGGTTGAAAAACATCGCATAAGCTATGGTTTAGAAGAAGAAAAAGAAAAGTCTGGATTTATACCAGCCACCAAACCAAAAATCCTGGTTTAGGAGCTGGGCAAAAACTCCGTTAGCAAACCGACAACATTCGGATTCCGCCTTCTCAAGCAAGATCCAACCAGCTGGTGAAAGGATTGCATCCAATCCATCTGAAAGGCACCAGATTGGAGAAGGTGGCTCTTAATTTGTCAAGGAAACCCGTGCCTCCACGTCTTCCTGCCCGTTCCAATTCTTGCTAATCATTAAACCAGCCTTGCTGTGCTTTTTGGAAAAAAATGTGTTACGATGTATTTTCGAAGAATCTTGTCAGCACCCTGGACAGGTCCCTTCGTTGCGCAACAGGAAAAGTGATTATTATTTTTAAATAAATATATACAAGCGTTCCTCAAGTTACGCCCATAATTGAGTCCCAAAGTTCTGTTGCTAAGCAAGACCGTTGTTAAGTGAGTTTTGCCTCATCTTAGGACCTTTCTTGCCACAATCATTCAGTGAAGCCCTGTGGTTTTTAAGCGAGTAACCCAGTTGTTAAGTGAATCTGAGAAGGTCGCAAAAGGGGATCACGTGAATCCGGGACACTGCAACTGTCATAAGTACATGCCAGTTGCCAAGTGTCCAAAATCTCGATCACCTGATCATGGGGATGCTGCAATGGTTGTATGTGTTCTGACCGAGGCTTCCTGAGACTGTAATTAAGCACATGATTAATTAAAACAATTTTCAACGCTGGGAATTAAGTTCACTCCCAGCCAGTAATGAACCCCAAACAGTCCCCCAGAATGCCTGAGCTAACAGGACTGGAGGAGGCATTCTGGGAGTTGAAGTCCACAAGTCTTAAACTTGCCAAGTTTGAAGACCCTTGGTGTATATCATCTATCTGTCTACCCATCATCTATATGTCATCTATCATCCATCATTTATCTATCTACTTATCATTTACTTATCTACCATCTGTTTCTCTATCTAATAATGTATGTATGTATGTATGTATGTATACACACACAAACAATGCATACCAAATAAAAACACACTGGTCATTCATAGGAAGAATAGAGAGATAGGTAAGTAGGTAGGTAGGTGGATGGATGGATAGATAGATAGATAGATAGATAGATAGATAGATAGATAGATAGATAGATAGATAGATAGAGAGAGAGAGAGATAGATAGATATAGACCAAGGGTCTTCAAACTTGGCAAGTTTAAGACTTGTGGACTCCAACACCCAGAATGCCTGACCTAACAGGACTGGAGGAGGCATTCTAGGAGTTGAAGTCCACAAGTCTTAAACTTGCCAAGTTTGAAGACCCTTGGCTTTTAAGCCTTTGCCGTGGGAATTCTGGGAGCTGAAGTCCGCACACTGCAAAGTTTGAGAAACCTGGCTCTAAGGTTCATCCCAGGGCCCCCTGCAGGCCCGTCCCCAGGCAGGGGAGTGCAGCTGCGCCTGCGGGTTGGCTCGTGCGCGCCCCCTGGAGGCCGAAGATGGAACACACCACCCTCTTAAGAAGCAAAACAGCTGACTTGCTTAGGCGGGTCCTTTTCCCGATGGCAGCTGGTTTAAAACTGCTGGAGGCTGGGAAGAAGAAAAAGATGAAGAAGATCCCCTCCCTCGTCGGTCGCCTGCGGCATTTTCGCCTGGCCGGGGGCTTTCCTCTTGGCCAGTGATTCCCCACCCCCATCCCACCCCCCCATTCACCCCCACCTGGCTGGTCAAGAAGAAGGGGAGGGGGAATGACCAAAGGGAGGGGCAGCTGCGATGCAAAGAGAGAGAGTCCAGCGAGCTGGACGAGGCTGGTGGTCCTTTCTCTTCCAACCCAACCTGCTTGGCGCTTCCCTTCCTTTCCCTGATGGCCAGCCCAGCCTGACGGAGCCCCGGCGCCAGTTCAACGGGCTGGTCATTCCGCCAGTCCTCATTGAGCAAGCGGAGCACGTCGGACGGAGTCCTATTGTTGAGGGCAGACGCCGCCATGCTTAGCCTGCCAAGGGGGCTGCTAAAGTGAGCGCCCGAGGAAGATGGCGTATATACAGGTAGGGCTGAACAGCCGGCCGGGGTGGGCTGGGGTGGCCTGGGAGGAGAAGGGGCAAGGGGAACGGAGAGGAGGAGGAGAAGGGGGGCGGGCTAGAGACCTCTCTGCCCCCTCCCCTCCTTCCCCTCGGGCTGACTTTGCTGGGAGCCGAGCAAGGAAGACAAGAAAGAAAGAAGAAAAAAAAAGAAAGGGGGGCGAAGGCAGAGGCGTTGGGGGGTCCCTCCACCCCAGGAACCCCCCAGCTTTGCAAAAAGCGAGCATTTTCCTGCAGGAAACTTGAGCGAGCAGGTTGGACTTTCGGAGCTGCTCCGGAGTTTCCTCCGACCAGGAGGAAAATGCAACCTGTAGCATGAATAGGTGGAGTCCACCTCCCCACCCCTGCTTCGGCCCCAAGTCTCAGGGCTGGGGGTCTCCGTCCCTCCTATATCATCTCAATTTCCTTCCTTCCTTCCTTCCTTCCTTCCTTCCTTCCTTCCTTCCTTGCTTCCTTCCCCTTCCCCTTCCTTCCTTCCTTCCTTCCTTCCTTCCTTCCTTCCTTCCTTC